CCTTGCAATCCGTTCGTTGTCTTCTCTCCTAGCTGTTGAAGTTGTTTGACTGATTCCCCTGCCTGGTCGCGGATTGATTGGAGCCTTTGGATCCCGTTGACTGTATGCTCTCCAAGCTGTTCGAGTCGTTCAAGCCCCAGTTCTGCCTGAGCCCCAACCTCTAGAAGTGGTTTAGGTTCTTTGAAATCGATTAGTTGTTGTTCAAACTGCCGAAGTTCTTGAAATCGTATCGTTGCCTCCTGTCTTAACTCTTGAAGTTGTTGGATTGATTCACCTGCCCGGTCATGCATTGATTGGAGCCTTTGAAGGCCTTGTATTGTCTCCTCTCCAAGCTGTTCGAATCGGTGGAGACCTTCTTCTGCCCTAGCTGTAATCTCTAGAAGATGTTTGGTTTCTGCGACACTGACTATGTGCTGTGGGAACTGATGAAGGTCTTGAATCCCATTTGTTGCCTTCTCTCCGAGCTGTTGAAGTTGTTGGACTGATTTGCCTGCCTGTTCGCCGACCGATTGCAGCTCCTGGACTCCTTGGAGTTTCTGCTCCACAAGCTGTTCAAGACGTTGGAGCCTTTCTTCTGCCCGAGTCCCTAGCTGTAGGAGTTGTTGAGGGTCGCCGATATTTGATAATTGCTCCCCGAACCCCCAAGCTCCTTGAAGTCCGTTCGCCGTCTTCTCTACTAGCTGTTGAAGTTGTTGAACGGGCATTCCTGTCTGACGACTGACAGATTTCAGATCTTGAACCTCTTGTACTGCATGCTCTCCAAGCTGTTCTAGCCGTTGGAGCCTTTTCTCTGCCAGAGTCCCAAGCTGTGGAAGTTGGTCTGGCTCTTTGATGCGCACCGCGACTTGTCCAAAATCCAAATCCAAAAGTTCTTGGTATCCTTTTGTTCTTTGCGCCCCTAGCTGTTGAAGTTGTTGAATTGATTTGGCTATCTGACCTTCGAGGGTCGGAAACGGAAGTTCTTCAGTTCGCTTTAACGTCTGGTCCCTGACCTGTTCAAGTAGGTGGGGGTAATCTTGTGCTGCCAGCTTGGAAGCAACTACAAGCTGTAGATGACCGTGGGGTCCATCGGTACTCCCTACCTTCGGACTGAACTCTTTCAGTTCTCCGAATCCCTTCGTTGTCATCGTCCCTCCTAACTGCCGAAGCTGCTGAACTGATTTGGCTGCTTCAATCCCAGACTGTTGGATCCCTTGAACACCTCCCGATTGCTCAAATCGTTGGAGTCCTTGTGTTGCGTCCTCACCTAGCTGCACGAGGCCTTGCTGAACTGATTTTGAATCAGCTGCCAGCTGTTGGAGCCGTTGATTTGCAACTCCTTTTCCTGTCTTCTCGTCCAATTGCTCAAATAGCTGAAGTCCTTGCACTGCATGCTGCTGCATCTTGAGAAGCCCTTCGGCATTCGCTGCTTGTTCTCGAATTTCTTGAAATCCGTTCGCCGTCTGCTCTTCTAGCTGCTGTTGGATCCCTTGAACACCTCCCGACTGCTCAAATCGTTGGAGTCCTTGCGTTGCCTCCTCGCCTAGTTCCACGATGCCTTGTTTAACGGATTCTGAATCAGCTGCCAGCTGTTGGAGCCGTTGGTTCGCAACTCCTTTTCCTGTCTTCTCGCCCAATTGCTCAAATCGCTGAAGTCCTTGCACTGCATGCTGCGACATCTTGAGAAGCCCTTCGGCTTTCGCTGCTTGTTCTCGAAGTTCTTGAAATTCGTTCGCTGTCTGCTGCCCTAGCTGCTGAACTCGTTCAATTGACTTGGCTGACTTGGCTGCTTGATCTGGAAGCTGTATGACATTTCCTCTTACTCTTTCGTCTTCCTGTTGTGTAAGTTGCGCCAGCCCTTGCGCGGCCTTCTCGCCAAGCTTCAAAAGTTCTTTTGGGATTTCCAAACTCACTGTTTGGGGCGCAAGGCGCTGAGCTTCATGACCACCTTTGGCTGTCACACACTCTTCTTCTTCTAGCTGCTGCTGCTGCTGCTTGAGATGTTGCACACCTGATGAGGTTGCCTGATCGCGTCCAAGCTGTTCGATACCTTGTCTGTGTCCGTGTCCGTGTGTTGTCGGCTCCCTTAGGAAGAGCATTCCTTGAAGTCCTTTCACTGCCTTCTCTGCAAACTTCTGAAGACCTTGAACTCCTTGCACTGTCTTTTCTCTTAGTTGCTGGAGTTGGAGAACCGATTCGGCCGCCTGATTTCCAAGCTGTTGAAGCTCAAGAAAGTCCGCTGTATGCTCTGTCGACTGTTGTTTAGTTGGCTGAGCAATTTGTGCAGTCTGCTGCCCGAGATGTAGAAGCCCCTGGAGGCTTTTTGCGACTCGCTCTGCAAACTGCTGAAGTTCTGCAACTCCTCTTGCTGTCTGTTCTCCTAGCTGGTGCAGCTGGTGAACCGACTTTGCTGCTTCGTCGCCAAGATGTCGAAGTCCGTGGACTTCCTTGGTTGTTTGCGCTCCTTGCGGCTCTTCAGATTCCCTGCTAACTCCTCTTGCTGTCTGTTGTCCAGACAGTTCAGTCTGCCGCTGAGGCGCTCCGATTTCTTCGGCTTCTGCCCCTGTCTGCTCTTGCAATTGTGGTTGAACCTGTTCAGGATCCCTGACTACAAGCTTGCCATACTCTTCGATTTCTTCGACTCCTTTGGTTGCTTTCGGGCTCTGAAGACCTCCTCCTTGTCCCGCAGTCAGAGCTTCGCCAATCTGAAGCTCGCCAGCTTCTTTTTCGCTCGTCTCGGAGTCTCTGGTAACCCCTCCAATTTCTGCTTTTACCGTGTGGTCTTCTGGTTGTTGAAGTTGTTGAAGTTGGGGAGCTCCGTCTCCTTCCTTCTTTGTCTCCTCCTCCTTAACCTTAGTAGCGGATTCGCGAGATGAGGAGCGGTATTGAATGTACCAGCGTATCATTTGGACGGCGCCGTACAAAACCCAGCCCACAGCTAAGCCGATGCCTGGTGCGCCTGTGAAACCCACGGAGGCAAGATAATCGACGTTGGTTATATCCCATCCGCCATTGTAGTCTTTAAAGTTGTTCAATGGGTTTGGCCGGTGGGTTCTATCGGAGGCAAGCATTATCCGGTTTGGATCAGGGTCAGGTTGGTTTTGGAGATGCCTTGCATCAACTTGTGACCACGAAGTTGCGAGCTCAATCCCCGACGAGTTCTGAGATGGATAGCACCTACTCCTCCTGTGAGAAAATTCACTGCACTGATTGCCCCACCGCTTCCACCTCCACCAACTGCATTTCCGATACCGCAAGACCTTCCCGGGACCATCTTCGTCGACAGGGGAAGGAGAGGTTGTCACCGTCACTGCGCTCAGATTGTAAGGTCTGGACAAGGACAAGGGTAAGACGCGCGCCTCCGCTGTCCCTGAGGGGGAAACATGCACGAACCGGAGCAGCAGCAGCAGGATTGGCATCGTAACCATGAAGCACCTCACGTAGCAGCAAAAATTTATCAGCACTAATGATGCGCAATCACCCGATCTCCCTGTCCAACTCCGATTCAGATGCCAATTCAGCTTCCTTCCATAACCCGCTCTCGACCGACTGTCATCCTGCATCTTCAAGTTGGAGTGGCCCATGATGGTTCCCATCAGTGACACACTGTCTCTCTCGTATTCAATTGCAGACACTGCGTGTTCTGTACCGTCTTTCCTTTCACTTCTTCTCCTGTTCTACCCCATGCTCTCAACCTCCCTCCCTCCCCCCCCTGCCCCCCCCCTTCCCACACCCATTTACCTCATTCGCAGCTCTCCGAAAGCAGTGATCGCTCGTTGTCCACCACCCTCCTTAACTGTAGCTAGTTGGTGACTCTACCTATTTACCGAGGGGACCCGAAGTTAGCCGTGACCACCCACCGGGCCACCCATAGTTGATCCAGAAGAATTCCCAATCCCGACTCTCGCTCACCTTTGAAATTCCCCAAAGATTTGAAAATAAAAATTGAAGAATCCAACAATTAATGATTGATCAGTAAAAATAAAAAAATCCCATGTCACCAGACTCACCACATTTAATTTATTTGAAAAGAGATTTACAGTTAATTTATTTGAAAAGAGATTTACAGTTTATTTATTCGAAAAGAGATTTACAGTTAATTTATTTGAAAAGAGATTTAAAGAATCCAATTAATCAACAAAATCTAGTTAAAAGAATTCAATGAATGGTAATCACCCTGGTTACCACGGTTAATGGATGTTAACAACAATATTTGTAACCTCGTCCGATTCAGAACCCCAGTAGATCATGGACGGTCCATGTCTGCAGCAGCAGAGACTCCTTTGTCAATCTAGGATGACCATTTTCTCTCACCTTATCATGTCCTCTGTTGCAGTCTTCCTGTTGCTCGTCAGTTGCGTTAAAACAAATTAGAGTGTAGTAGCACAGGCCTGTACATCTTTATGCATTGATAATCTGGCTCTAAATTGCCCTCCTTGTCGTTCAAGTTGTTGTATTTTGTGACTTAAAATTTTCAAATTGTCATCCTCGCTTGCGAAGGAGAAATGGCCATAGCAGCGCAGCTTTCCCCCATAGGCCCTCACTGCGTGTCATCATCATCGCAAGGGCTGGTCTCTTCTTCGTCTTTATATAGCGTCCGGATACTGGCCCCGGTCTTCATAGGGCACCTGCTTGTCGTCTTTATATATTGTCCGGATACTGCCCCGTCTTCGTAGGGCACCTGCTTGTCGTCTTTATATATTGGCCGGATACTGCCCCCTATCTTCATAGGGCACCTGCTTGACAAGCAAAAGATGGGGAAAAAAAAAGACAAGCAAAAGATGGGCAATCGGTACTAATTTAGTAAATTTATCAAATAAATCTTGGAGAAGTGATAAAGAAACTAAAATTTTGAACCCTTGCGAACCACATTCTGGCTGCCGATGTCGGGAAGTCGAACAAATAAATCTTGGAGGGAAAAAAATTGACACAAAAACTAGGCTACCAGCCGGGCCGCCTGGGTCCCGGGTGGCCAGCCCGTG